TAGAATAGTATAAGTATAGACTATAGGTGTACACACTGAGACTGAGACAAGAGAGAGAGAGAGAGAGAGAGAAAAAAAAAAAAAAGCGAAATCGAAGTTCTTGGGTCCAGGCGTGGAGGTGGTGGGGAGAGCACGAGAGAGGGCAAGGAGGGCAGAAAACGATGCCATCGCACCGTGAAGTGAGGAATCAGCCTGTCCATCAGCCGTGCCACGCCGTGCCTGGTGACTGCCATGCGCCCAGCAGTTGCACAAGCTCCCAGTGGCCTCAATGCATGGCGAAGCTCTTTGCTGAAGCGCGGTTGTTGAATGTCTCAGAAAAAGTTTACTGTTCATATCACATCGACTTCTGTCTGGCGGCTTGTCTGCACTGCTGATCGCCAGCGGAATGGACAAGGCCCCCTGACGATGCAAATTGCGGCTCAGAGAGAAGGTTGAACTCGCACATGCTGAAAGCAGCATGGCATCATGAACATCGGCTACGTCTTCGACACTATGCCACGCAGGTGGGCCTGAGGAGGGTCCACGATGCCTGAAACGCTGATCGGCCACAAGCCACACCCATCACCTTTGAATCAGCGTCTCTGCCTCTGCAGAGCCCGATGTACTGCTTGACCTCAAAGCCACTTCTTGCCGATGCTGCAGCCGCATTTGCTCTCGACACGAATGACACGACGACTTGGAAGTCTTGGCTGAAACGGGGCCGCCACCAGTGAGCGGCTCGAGATCTGCAAGCAGACGTGCCGCAAAGCCTCTCCAAGACTGATTCACATGCAGCTAAACCAACCATTAAAACTCATTGAGAAATAAAATTGGCAACAGGCAGAATCTTGGCCATCGTGACACGAAAAATCAAGATGATGGTAATGATGCTACATGATACTACCTACCTCTTACCTGGTCTTGCATGCCCGAGTGTTCATGGAAGACAGGACCATGATCAACCGATCCGAAGCCGGACAGTTTTGAAACTGCTTGTGCACGCTGCCTCTCTCGCAATCAGACTACTTGAACGGTCCATCTCAAAAGTCATTCGCGCAGGCAGCTCAAAACTCTGCGAACAACTTTGGCAAAATTGCAGATCAAGGTTGAGCTGCTGGCGGTGCGAGACCTCACAATTTTCATAGCGTGTGTTCGATGCTGACGAGACAAAAACATCCAAGAAACTTCGAAGAAACTTGGGATCCGAACTTGGCCACAATCACTATTCCACTCGTCCCTCTATCCAGCCGATGACACGGTGCGGCCACTGGGCCTTGGGGACACTCGATGCCACACATCCTTCACCCACGAGGCCATGCCGCCACGTAGAAACTCAAAACGAAGGACGCTGAGCCTGCAGCCATGAGCGTACCTGCAGATGTCGCAGGCTCATACCAGCCCATACCGACACTCTCCAAACAGCTTCACTAGTTCCTATTGCAAATTCGATCCGGTTTGTCTGAAATAAGCGCCCTGCTTTTTCCAGACATAACGGATCAAATTGCCGTGTACCTGTCGCAATTGCACCCGACATTCTGCTGCGGGCCGTTCAGAACGTCGTTTTACAAGCGCACCCCTTCCCACTGCGGCGTTGAACATGTGGCCCAGCCGGATGGTTTGTACATCACCTGCCACAGGTGTATCATAAAGCCAAAGGGGGGCAATGCAGGCACTCTCACACGGCCGGCCCTCGGCACATGTCATGACCTTGCAAGCATGTTCTACGATCTGGCCCCCGACCAGCAGATCAGAACGTGGCAGATCCTGGGCTCGAGCTGAACTCACTGAAACGTCAGCCGCGTCAGCCGTTCAGCAGAGCGGCCTGTAGCACACATGGCAAGGCACCAGATCCAGACACCTGGACACAACTCCACGGAGCGCCGACTCTGCGGAATTGCAAGGTTCTCACGGTCTTGGCACGCTGCACAAAGTCCCCGCCCAGGTGCAAAGTGCTCCGCAGAGATGAAGCGCTGCGATGCGAAAAAAAGTGGGGCCGGTTCACACGCATGGGCGGAACCCCAAGTGTGCATCCGCAGTACATCTAGTAGGACTTGAGGTCTTACACCGCGACGAGTCGCAGGCACCCTGCCTTTGGGTCGCTGGAATCGGCAAAAGGTTGCAGCAAGGGCCTGGTATGGCAGTGTGGCTCAGTATGGTCTTTGGTGGGCAAGGGCGATGCGTTCACTTCGCTGCACTTGGCGGTTTGGGCTCTCATCTAAGGCTCCAACTCCCAGCGGGACTTGTGCCAGCGCTCGTCGTTCACTTCAGGTAAGGCTCCTCGAGCTTAAGGTGGGTGTTTGCATGTAGAGCTTGCAGAAACCTCTAATTGCGGCCAGCGGCATGCCGCAGTCTCCGTTCTTAACAGTCTTTTCTTAACTGCTGCAACCTACGCAACCTGCTAGGGCCACACCCTGCTACAAGTAGCCACCTCGTCTCCTGCATGGCAGCGGCGTAGAAAAGAATGCTGCGTCTCTGGACTTTGGAGGGGCCTGTGGACCATCCCTCGCATTGCTAATCGGAAGACTGTGCCTCCCGCAAAAGTACGGACTGCAATAAGGAAGGATGAACAGATCCAACTGACCCTCAACTCTCCACCCATGCCGAAACAGCCAGTAGCTTACCTGGCATCGCGTTCCCACCGCTATGCCCTTGGCTCTCCAAACTTCACCGGAGGTCCTGTTCCTTCACCTCTGCTTCCCTGCCGCCACGTCGGGCCGTTGTGCCAGGCACAAGGACACAAGCCACGTCTGCAAGAAAGTCGAACGGCCGCCTTCAAAAGCATCAGCAGCAAACGACCACCTTGAAGCCAGGAGGCTAGTTGTCGTACAGCTGTCTATTGCCCGTTCTGGATCATGCTCACTCAGCTGAGGCTGGCTGCTGTTGTCGTTCTCGCTTGACGGTGTTTTCGTCTCTTCTGAGGCCTTCCGCTGAGCAGAACGCGGCAGAGCACGTCACAGGTGACAGGTCCACACACTTGCGACCGCAAGGTAGGCTGTCAAACCCTTCCAGACTTCGGCCTGGGCATCTTCACCTGCGGATGAGTCTCGCTCTCACGGATGCACCGTCGCGGCGAACCCGCGCTGCCTGCGGAGGCGGCCTTGCTGGCAAGGAAGGCCTTCCACATCAGCGCCGCTCTCATGCTGCAATTGCTGCCATTGCTGCATGCTCATGGCCGCCTCCAGGTCCTGGGCGTTGACCGGACAAGCAGCCGAGGGCCTGCAGTTCACACCGGTCTTCCTACAGGGCCGAGCCAGCGTCAAGCAAAAGCAGCCAAGGTCACCTCGGTGGTGGGGGTGTGCTCAGGGAGCTCTTGGCCTGAACACTGGGGGCTAAATCTACCTGACGCGAGTGCGACTGATTACGAATGCCACTGGAAGCCCCAGGCCTTGCAGACCTTTTCTGACACGCTGAGGCCTCACCGTCTCCAGTGGTTGGCTACAACCGACATAACATGATATGGATGGCATACCTTCGCAACCGGATCATCCACAAGCACAGCACACCCCCGGAGCTCAGGCCTGCCGGGTCCGGCAGTGGGCCGACTTGGACTCCTAAACCTTACAGGGCATCTCTGAGAAAGATGACAACCCTGTTGGGCATACACAGTCGGCGCCCCACCTTGCTGCCCAGATTCTGGTAGTTCTAAGCCCATCGAAGCTGCAGTGTGACCTGAAGGCACCGGACTATTCACACAAAGCCTGAGCGCAGCCGTGGTTGTGACCTAGTGGATGTGGCACAGGAACTCCTGGCCACACGTTGTGCTGCTCTGCAGCTCAGAAAGTTCAGTCAGCTTGCAGACTGCTTGGCCTTGGGGAGGTTGAACTTTCTGCAGCATGTGATGGCCATCCACGAGAAGGCCTGAACAAAGTCAAGAGAACGCATTTGCAACAGCACGAGATGCCGAAGCCTGGGTGCAAACTCCGTAGAGCACAGCCTTCGCAGTGGGCATGCCGTAAGTCAGATGGCACCAATGTCCCCCCATCGTGCGTTCATCAAGACTTCTCATACAGACATACACTGACCTAGACCTAGACACTAGCTCTGGCTATGTCCTTGGTCTGTGTCCTGGGCTACAGCAGACCACCCCATCCTCAGAGTCTGGAGTCGAGTCTAGAAGATGCTTTGAAGCTTGCCCGACTCATTTTGTAGACCTTCCCGCCCGGGCCTGGTGGCCACGGCTCTGGGCCACGTGTCAGGTGGCCTTCACGGGGCGAAATGGACATGTGCAGGTTTAGGGCATGATGCCGATTCCTTGCACGACATTTCTGAAATGGCTCAGCCGGTCTCAACTGTCCATCACTTCGCACAGCGCACGGAACAATGCACTTCGCAGGGTCTAAAGTCTAGACTATTACTGTATTTCCGAGTACTCTTAGAACTCCAGCTGCCCCACAGTCCGCGATTTAACTTGCTGCTTTTCGTAGAGCACGGCATTGAAAGTATGAGGGGTCATGCCTCATGATGGTATGAGAGACTTGTTGTAAGAACCTTTGGGCACGAAGGGGTCGCACCTTTTATTGTAGGCATTCCTTCTGGGAGGTGCTGCGAGACAGAGCGGGAAGGAGGGAGAGACAGTTCGGGCAATGACGAAAACCAAACCGACTGAAAGAAAGAAATACAAACGCACAGACAGAGAGAGGGGTACGAATACAGCTTATGACAATTATCACATCCTGACTGCTTCCTGCTGCCTGGTCGTGGCATCCGTGGCCACGGCAGGGCGACATCTTGTGCTGCAGAACCTCTGCAAGGAGTCGTCAAGCAGCATGTCACGGCTTGAGCTATTCAAATTCTTGTGCCTGGATGCAATCTCGGACAGGCTTGCTGAAAGTGCGGCACGGCAGGGCCTTGATAAAAGACATGTCGCAAATGATGGCTGGGAAACTGGGAGGCTGAGCCTTGTAGGTGCATTCGCGGCCAAGGCTGATTAGCTGGTACGAAGCCTCCCGCTTCGTGGCTAGGCTTCTTGTCTCGCCAGCCACAGCAAAATAGTCAGCGACCCTGGCCTGTGAGCCCGTTGAAATGCCCTCGCGGCTCTTGTGCAAGAGCTCCAGCTTGCTGGAGCACCCTGAGGCATGCTAACAGTTGCCGCTAATTTGGCGGCCGCCATTGAACGCATGAGATCGATGTAGGGCCACAGCGGCAGCGAGTAAGTGCTTCCTGCTGTTGCACTGACGGCATGCAGCACTGATAAGAGACGCAAAGTCCGGCCTGGCTGCGGGGTAGTGCCATAGAAACGAGCAGCTGGTCCGGCATCCTTCAAGCCACTGACTAAACATAGCGAAGATGTCATCAGAGAAGTCAGCAGAATCTCGTTCATTTCTGTCATGCCAATGCTTCAGCCACGGAATATGACATAGTCGCTGGGGTATACGACGGAGCGCAGAATGCACGTGCAGACTCGGTAGGGCATAGTAGGAGAGGCCCTACTATTCTTTTACACATGGACGTACCGACCTATCAGAACGAAAGGCATGACTCGCATGGGCTGCACCAGATCAAATCTCACTGCCTCGGACACCACGGATTGATCATGGACTGCCGCTTCCTTACACCCTGCTCTCGGCAGCAAACCTGGCCTTCGGCTCGCGCCGTCGTTGTCCGACATCAGGAATTTTGTTTGCTGCGTGGCCGTAGTTTGGGCGCACGACAGCTGGAGGAGCGTCTGGGGTGGGAGCGGGTGGGCCCAAGGCAGAGGTAAAGGCAGGGCAAGTGCTGCAAGGATCGGGTGGCACTCCGTGCTTCCCCAATGCAGCTGCCAGACCTCGCAGGGCGTTACGCCGTATGTCATTCGTGCATCAACTCACCCAGGATTGGCCTGGCGCGACTTTCCTCATAATGTCCTGGCACACGCCCGTGGCGCACACAGACCCGCGCCTTCTCAATGTTTGCATACACGCCCAGTCCTCCGAGCGCATTATCCTTGGATGACTGAGACCAGGAGCTGCAGCGATGGAAGGACTGTGCTTGCTCACATCCTACGACCTACGATTCCTTCATCGAAGCGCAGTCTGGAAAAATGGAGACTTGCTTGCGTGCATTTGCGTGCCATCCGTGCAACCAGGCTGCTGCTCCATGGCTGCTTCGACAGACATGGCGAGAATCCTACCGAAAAAATGGTTCGACGTCGGCCCCAAGCGAGCCAGTGACCCTGCGCTGACGTTAGAAGCAAGGGGTATGCATGGGCCTTGCATTGCTGTGTGCGATTTTAAGAAACTTGATGAAATACTCAGAAAAGGAATTCGGCGAAGTGGCTTTGTGCCATCATTGACGGAGCGGCAGGACAGCATCTGATCGCTGATGCACTTGCTACCACATCAGCAGGTGACTCGACGAAAACTCGAAAGCAAGCAGAGCATCGCTTTTCCGTCCGAAAATGTCCACCTTCAGCTCTCAGCTGCGGTTCGGGAAGCTCAACCCTCCTCTCCAGACGCGTCATTTGGCCACGCAGCAATTTCAGCAAGATGCAAAACAAGCGCCTGCTTTGGAGCTGTCGTCTTCAAATCCCAGCCGACTAGTTGCTGCATCGTTCCACGGGCAAATCATGGCAAATCCACCCACCCAACCTTGTCGCTCAAACGTTTCGTGGCAATGCAAAACGTGCTCGATAATGCTCATTTAACCCATCAGTCCGTATCATCGCACTCCTTGCTCCTTGTCCTTGCTCCTTGCACTTTCACCTGGACCTGGTCCTTCCTCCATACTCCGGCTTCTTTCCCATGCCCTGCTGAATCTATCAGTTTGTGGATCCATCAGCATCGGTCGTCGCCTACGACAGTCTACGACCTGGAACTGAACCCATGTTGTGGCTGCCGGAGCCTCGCATGAGACTCCAGGAGGCTGAAATGAATACCTGGAGGACTTGGAGTTGCTGAACAACCTTGCCAAATTCGACGGGAACTCAATAGCACTCTTACCTTAATTAAGCCCTCACAATCCCTCACAAGTCGGGTTTCGTACTTGCTGTCGTTTGCACCGGGCAGGCTGACATAGACAGATCGTCCAGACTTACTGCCAGGCTCTTCAAACTCAGAATGATGTCGCAGCCGCTATCCTCCGAGTCCAAGCCTCTGAAACTTCTCAGGTCCTGGCTCTGCTCTATTGGCCCCGATCAGCTCCGCGCTCTCGGCCTCGTGCCAGAGCTTCAGGGACTTTCGGCCCTTGCGACTACGGTGTGGGACTACGTGAAACAAAGCAACACTCACAAGGACGTCTTGGGCCGTCGCGCCCTTCTTGAGATGATACAGTGGCCTCCAGACATCCACACGGATGCATCGTGTGCACAATGCTATGTACCACCCTGCTCTCCAGGCCAAGCGGCCTTGCTTGCCGCCTTGCTTCCCGTGGATTTCTCGATGTCCACGCCTGGCTCAGAGCGAGTTTCGGCCCTTGGAACACTGAAGCCGGACATTTCTAGCACAGTTCCGCTCGGCACAGCATCGTTTGTTGCATGTTCTGGGCCGAGCCAATCCAGACATCTCAAGCCCTGCACGCTCTAAGCTGCTTCGGCGCCGGACGGTAGTGAACTCCAGCTGTCACAACGGAAAGATTGTCTTGTCGTCACAGCGTTTGCTGCTATGTGCTTGGCTTCTCGGATGTTGAAGTGAAAGCCTCCAAGTTTTCCAGTCCGACCCATTGAAAGTCTGTGGGGACGCTTGCTGCTGGTTGCTGCAACGTTCACGGGCAGCACCCAATTCAAAGCGAAATTGTAAACAGAATCACATCACGCATCTGAGAATGCAAGGTGCCAGATGTGCCTTGTGCCTCTGGAAGTTTACCAGTCTCTACAATGTCATCCACGGCCCTGGCACAGCAAGCAGGGTTGCAGAATGGCATCTGCATCATGACTCCACTTGCCGTTCCTGACTTGCTTTCCATGCCTTCTGACAATCTCAATCTGCTCCTGCGTGACAACCTGTCTGCAGAGGCTTGGGTGAAGCGTAAACCATCCGGCAGATCTGTTCAGGACAGCTTCGGGTCACAAACCTCCTCCCCCCGTGGTTTCACGATGATGTGAAGAGGCTCCTGCACATAAGGCTTAGATGCGCGACGGACTGACGAGACACTTCGTGCCCCGGCAAAATTTCCGTGTGTCCTCTGCCACACCTGGGCGTTTCGAGGGATTGCAAGACAAGTTGAAACATGTTGAAACATGAACAGCAAGACAAGCGAAGGAAACCCCCACCCTGCCCGCGGGGGCCTCCCGGGGCACCAGCACCTCGGAGCTGCAGCCGACAGCCGGCCTTTCCAAAACGAAACACAGCGCTCTCTATTCCATCGGGACGTGTCTGCACAAATTGCAGTTTGCTCCACAGCTCGAGATTCGGGGGCTGCTATGTAACTTTGAAGCTGCGTAGCTGGCTTGATCTTTCGGCACCTGATGCCTTACGCAAACCGCAGACATCGTTTCATCTTGGACAACATAGTATGCCCGACGCCTGAATCCTCTGTCAGTTCCGAGTGAACGCCGACCCAATGCATTTCCGTTTGCAAGCAACTCTCCACTGCGCTCTCCGAGGCAAAAGACCCCGTGCCTTCTTCATGATGGTTCGAACGTTTGACCTGTCAGCGACAGATGCGTGCGCCATCGTACCGGAAACTGATCATGAATGTCGTAGCAACCTGCCAAAACACAAGGTGCGGCCGCGTGAGGGCCAAGCGCTCCAGGGCCGAGGATCGTCGTATAAGCCTTACACAGCCACAATGAGAGGCCGAAGTCATCATGACTTAATCCTCCGAGGTCGCGGCAGCTCGTTGCTTCGCTTCAGGACCGTCACCCTCAAACTTCATGAAGGGGATGGCGACCTGCTAGCTTCTGCAATCCCGTGATAACGCAGGAGCCCGCAAAAGTGAAACTACCAGTCAGTGCTGCAGTTTACGGCTCTAGTCGGTCAAATCGGCTCTTATGCCCAGAAACCAGCGCGAGCAGTTGCAATCCTCTGATAATGCAGGAGTCCGCACATGTGGAGCTACTCAGCTTGAGACGAACTGGAGTTGAACATCCCGGGTGTGGTTCGCATACGGAGGCGAGCAGTTGGACGATTCATATTGCCAAGAGGTCCAAGTGCCGACCGAGCTGGACAAAGATATTCCGCTAAGGGGGCGGGTTGCTAATATGACCCAAATGGCTTCCTACCAGTAGTTTGCTAAAGGTCAAGTCCTGTTAATAATATGAAGGAGTGCCTCCGTTTCGCAGTGTGGGTGGGCCGAATCCCGAAGCACGGCTGGAGACTTTTAAGGTGTGCCGAGCCTTCACTACCACGTCCCTGGGATCGATGGGTTTTGCCTCCGGCCTTGGCTGCGCTCGCGCCATGTCGACGCCATGCTTCTGTTTGCCGATGGGGCAACCTTTCCCCTAAAAACCGCCACCCAGAGCCTTTACACAGGGGCTGCAAACACCAGAGGCGGACAAGTGCGACATGATGAGGCCCAAGTGATCCCACTTCTCTTCGTGGTCTCGCGGATGTCGGATCTCTGATTGTGCATGCCTCGCCACAATCTGCAAAGCGGGTCGCTACACCTCCAGCTGACCACTGTTCAAACGCGGCGGATCGGCGCATAGGGACAGTCGTCGGGTCGAGGACAAGGTAAGCCCTTGAACACCTCACAGAAGCAAGTTGTTGGGCGAATCCCATGCACAAATCACATATCGAAGACGTACCCTGCTGAATGCAAGCGCATCCGGTGTGCCTCATAGCAGGGTCGTGTCTTGTACCTCTCGGGTGCCCGATGAAACTCATCCACCTAGGCATTTGGAAGAATTCATTGCTACAGGACGGACATGGTACTTGCACAGCAGCATGTACTTGTGCGACTCGCACCGCACCGCTAGTGCGCGCACGAGGGGTTCTTCATTGCTTTTCGGTTTTTGGGACTAGCCGACTTGACCACGTTTTCGGGCAAACACAAGCCTGCAGATGCCTGCAGTCCCGAAGAACTTGTGAGGGGTGGAGGAGATGAACTGACGTCCCGGAAATGTTTTTCCAGTCCTGGATACAGTATGTATCTGGACAACCGGCGATTGAAGAAATGGATGGTGCATGGTGAGAACACGGGGTGTGGTTGCAAAGCCAATAGGCGGCCCAGCCTGTTTCGCCTTCTTCAGCCGTTGGCAGTGGAGTAACCCGAGAAAGCCAAACGCCACATACACGGCTCAAGCCCAAACGAGCACTTGTGTCGTTCTTTGGTTCTGCGACATCCGTAGGATGGAAGCCTCTTCACCACAGGCTTCTCCCTGCTTCTTGTATGCAGGGCATGAAGGATTTGAAGGACACTTTTGCACGCTCGGGCCTTCTCAGAATATACCGCAAACACAAACAATGAACCCCCCGGCAACAGCTGCGCTGCAACACATGTCACAGCATTCGACGGCAGAAGTGTGCCTCTGGAGTGGTTGGAGCATTCTCTCCCCATCGCAGACGAAGCTTTCGCCCTGTGGCATTTGCTAGCGGCACGGGTCAAGCAGCGACGCTGCGAGATGCGAAGGGTCCACTAGGATCCCCACCTTTGATTTCAATGCCGTCGACTTTCTTGATGCCCTGTGAGCCACGGCCAAGATGCTCACGAGGAAACTTAATTATGTTGTAAGGCTCAAGTCATCGTTCGCTCAAGGTGTCACAAGGGTCTCCTCCAGCGCACCCTCGGGCGTCTTGAACTCCGCGAAGCCGAAGCCTCGAGACACGCCTTCAGGGTATCGCAAACGCTTCCGCTCTCGTCGCGGCAACATCCTCCCATTCCTCGCCCCCGACTAACACTGAAATCGCACCGACAAGTAATTACCCTCAGTTTCGCCAGGCCTAGTAAGTATTCATTGCCATTCACGGCCTATGAGTACACTATCCGGCTCACTATGGGGCGAGCGCTTCAAGCCGATTTCCAAGCAGACATCACTTCTTCCCTGAGATAACTTTGTGTTTTGCGCCATCGCTCTCGTGGACCATCCACACAGTTCCTAGCCATTCCAGACTGCAGCTTTCGAGGCAAGACCTTGACTAAGAGCAACTTCCTAGAGTCCTAGATGCCTTCACAGCTCTAGGACCTTGGGTTGCAGTGGCTGGCACAGGTTGAAACTCCCACACATGCTGAGGTCCGGGCCATCTTTTTGTATGGACAGCCTCCACGACACCAAGCCCTCGATATCACCTGCAGCGCAGAACTGCATCTTCTCAAACAGGACTCCAGGCGAGATTCAGAGGCGTGCACCGAAGAGCTCGCGAATTTCTTCCTCGGTCGTGTCCTGAGAGACTTTGCGAAGGCGAGCTTGCGCTCCTTCTCACCGGGGCTCGTGCGAAGGAGATGTTGCCCACAAACACAGGCCACACCTGGCACAACAAGAAACACGCACCCAACTGCCTGCGGCTGCACGCATCGATGGCCGAATGCAGAGGCTCAAGCACTGTACTTCCAACACCCTGAGTTTCTCACGTCCTTCCGACGTGGCTCAATTTTTCTTTTCTTTTCTGCCTCACCTCCAACACCAAGCGAGTTGCTAAATGAACGGAGCTCGACTGAGCTTAGTTCTCGGATTCTGGCCGGTCTGGCCAGGTGGTGGTGGCCTGGAAAGCTCGTGGCATCTTAGGACAAGCTTTGCAGCGGTGCAGTGGCGCCTGACATTGAGCAAGACGAAGCCCGGCGGCAGCGAACCCGGAGTAGAGCCAGGTGGCATCATGAGGCCGGGAAAGACTCCAGGTGCGCCTGGCGCACCTGGAGCACCTGCACCGGGTGCACATGGGCCACCCGGCGCTCCGGGCACCTTGCAGAAAATATGGAGCCATAGAGAGTAAGTGCAGGAAAAAAGTGCATCGCGAACTTGGAGCTACTCTCTGCATCTCAAAGCCTAAACGGAAAACCGATTAGTCCAAGCCCTCAAATCAGACCCTTAAATCTACGCAATACTGTATGTCATTGCAGCCCAACCATTACGCCGCATTACGCCCTCTCACCTGCAACCCTGAAAGCGATTTAGAACATGTCCCACATTCAATTAAACCCCCCTTTGGTGGAGCCAATGAAGTCCTGAAACCTGCGTACCTAGGTTTTTGGGTTCAAGGCTTCGGGTGCACCAGATTAGTGAAAGGCCGGAGGGGCGGTTGTGCTTCCTGAAACACACACCCTGCGCTCTCGAGGGGGTAGTCTGTGTGTCGTTGCACTTCCTCTTCTGTCTCGAAAATGCTTCTGATGCCTTCCGAACATCAGTCTCTGCACCGGGGCATGGCAGCCCAAAACCCGGGATCAGGTACACAGTCCAGAGAACTTCACGAAAAATCCTCTCAGCGATTGCCAATCTACGAGTATCCGCCAGGATACCGGTAAGAAACCAGGCATCGGCGGGCAGCCAGCACAGCTGCCTGCGAGCCAAGCTGTACGTTGCGGAACTGACATAATCAGGACGGGAGAACAACCAACTTCAGAAAATCGATGCCGTTGGCAGACGCGTGCCCTGCCTGGCATCATCATGAACGGAAGTCCTCCAGGCAACCCTCCTGGCAAGCCACCTGGTGGAAGTCCTGGACCGGGGGCACGCAAATTGAACAGGACTGCTTCAACCAAGAGCCAGCTCCAGTCATTCGTTCTTATGCTAAAATACGAAAGCGAAAGAGAATGCGTGTTGGTTTACATATACGGAGAAGGCTGCTGACCGACACGTTAGCTCGACATCTGACATCAAACTTAGTTTTGCATTTTCTGGAGCTGTCTGCAAATCCGGAGTTTTCAGCCCGGCACCTCGGAAGTGTGGTTGTGGGCAGCGGAAAAACACAGTAAATCAAAGTTACGATCCACGGTTTTTCTAGATTTTGATTCGTAGTTGACGAATTGTCCTAAAATCCCGTCTTACGCAAGGGCGGAGGAGTTACCATACTAGACTACTTGTTGATGTCGGCGTCAGTATGTTTCACCAATGCAAAGTGTCATGGTTGTTCATTCCATTCCGAAGAAGCTTCTACAAGCTTCCATTAACGTTGCCGGCTTGCCTCCAGGAGGCGGCGGTAAGCCTGGTACCTGAGAGGCTGACGCATACATCGCCGCAGAGTCGCAAAATATGATCCTTTGCTGAATCTGACAAGCCCTGCAGACGAAGTGCTCCGGGCGGAGGGAGTGGCCTCAGTTGCGTGGGTCTGCCTGCTGCCTCGAAATCATGTCACTCGCAACTTGCGAAGGGTCCGGGCGGCGCGGCATCCATGACCTGAGGACGCGCTACAACTTTTTCAGCTCATGCCTTACAAGCCAAAGTGTGGCCGAGGTCCAGACGCTGGCTGCGAGGCTGTGAGGGTTGTCTTTACTTGTTTGGAAACTTTGTCTACGTCAGTGCTATGCCATCTTGGTTTTTGGGTGGTCTACAGCGCAGATCTCTAAGACGCTACAATTGGTAGGCCACTGAGGCCGGAGCCTGGCTCACTTCTCAGTAGTTACTTGTTGTCGGCTTCAGCAAACCCGTCAGCTGACATATGGCTTTCGTGGTAGGCCATTTTGTGTGCGTCCGCTCTGCAACAATATCTCTACGTGCCCCAGCTGCCTTCTCAGTCACGTCAGTCGCATGTCGGTGGGGCGCTTCAGCTGCATCTACATTTCAATGTGAGTTCAAATTTTGCGGGAAAATGATGGCACTCTGAATCTTGAATCTAACAGCAAGCTGCACAGCATTCGAAGCAGTACTGAGGTACTTTCTCAATCCATTTTGCAGCTGAACATGGGCGTAGACAAGGGACATGCACTTCAAGCAGCGCACGGCCTGCGAGGACGGGAATGGAAATGACGCCAGTCCTTATCTTAGACCTTTTTTGTCAAGTGGGCTGGGCGTCGCAGCCCAGTCACTGCCGTCTGTGCACTTGTCGTCTCAATCTAGCTTTCGTTGTGATATCTCAAACCTTTCGCCACAGGCTTGTTGGAGCTCGCCGAGCCAGTTCCCGAATATCTAAGACTCAACCTGAGACTCAACCAGTGAACCTTCAGGCAAGCACAGAGACAGCATTGAAACAGTTCATGTCCAAGACCGAGCCAACAGTTGCACAGCAATGTTTGGTGGCACTTCAGACTCAGACCGTGCTCATTGCTGCAGACCTCTTTTTAGGAGCCGTTTCACGGTGTCTTCCCCTTGTCGGCCTGCAGTGACTTCACGAAGCAGGGCTCTGTCATGACAATATGACGAGACATGAGAACAAAACTGGGCCTTCTGGGCGACCCAAGCAGGAATAAGCTTTCTTTGCATGTCAGCATCCATCGCAGCCTGAGTGTCATCTTGAAGCATGTGTGAGGAAGATGACCAGGCGGAGTCGAATCGACCAACTCAGCCCACCTCGATACCCGAAACGAACCTCAGGCTCCTGCCAATTCCTCCTTGGAGAAAACGAATAAGTGCTCCTGACACCAACAGAAAAGCCCGCTCAGCGTGCCTAACTTGCCTGGGCAGTGCCTAAGCCTTGCTGAAACAAACAACAGTCCGGAAGGGGCTTTGAGCTGCTGATGCGCCTGGCCATCGATCGTGCAGCACCCACGGCCCCGGGCATCCAGCCAGCGAATCAAGAGCGGAGCACGTGTTGGGGTCTCTCAGGTCATCGAATAGAGCCTCGCTGGCATGCGCAGGGGACGATGGTAGCTGAAGGGAAGAAGTGCTAGGGGCCTCACGTGCATGCAACACTGCAGTCCAGTAGGTCGCAGCTTTGGATCGTACACAAGCAATTTCGAAATGTAGTCCACAGCCTGTGAGGATGTCAGGTTGCAGGCCCCTCACTTAGACAATCACATAGCGCACCATCGAAGATCCCTAGTAGTGGGGAGCCTCCTGAGAGGTGCGTGATCTGAAAACTTTGTGCCAAGGATGTGGCTTGATCTGTGGGAACTTAAACCTTGCGGGACGATGCAGATCCGACCGCAGTAGCAATGGCAGGCCCCATGAAGGCGCTGACTCTGTGTAGTTCGGGTTCATAGCCATGAGTTCCTCCCTAGTTGGAGTGCCCAGAACTTTGATGATCTCCACCTGACTCGATGTGCAGACGAGAGCGTGCGTGCAATGAGCCAAGGCAGGTGTAAAGATCAGGCGGCGGCCAGCTGATCAACACCGCTCTCGCCAGGAAACATGGGATGCCCGAGGATGAGCTCCGCCGAAACACACGCGGCTGACCAAATGTCGATCACCTTCACTTGCAGATCACCAGCTGCCCCAACATCTACTGCTTGGTCTCCTCATCATCAGTGACGTAATGACTCAGGGGTGGACAAAGCCGTAGTCAGTGGCCCCGAAAATGAGCTCTGGAGCCCGGTAGTATCTGGAGCCTTACTGTAGCTCAGGCAAAACATGTATCGACAGAAGAGTGTTGTGGAACACTGGCCGTAGCCCTGCACAGCAAGGGTGCTCAAGCGCCGGGCAGATGTAAGCCACATTCGGCTCCCCTCTGACCAGCGGCTTCGCAGATCCGAAATCGCACAACCTGTCATGGTGCACTCCACTGGAACAAACACCTGCCTTCGCTCGGCACAACATGCCGGTGCTGCTTTAGGGCATGCGTATGCCCATCGACCAGCAAGTTCTGGGGCTTGATGTCTCGGTGGCAAATCCTGGTCATGAAAACTAGCTGTCACTAGCACCAGCATCTTCATCTTTGAATGGCAGCCCATGTTTCTTCGCAGAGGGTTTGCTGCGGAGGTGGGGCAACATGGCGAAAGGGAGCTTTAAGAACAGCCAACTCCGTGTCATGTTGACAGAGGTCGGTTCCCCCTTGCATGTTCATGACATATTTTTGCGAACGACTGGATCGGAGGATCTATGCGTTGTTTGAGACTTGAGACCCCCAAGTCGTATAATTAGCAGGAGACAGAGAAACGAGCTCTCAGGGCTCCCCACCCAACAGCGTGGATGTAGGCGCAGGCCCGGCCCATCTGAGCGACAGAACAACAACGGCTTGAAACAGCCAAAGGCTCTCTTCGAACGTAGGACTCTCTTCCACTGCTTCGGCTCCAGGTTCTTCGTCGTGCCTGGTAGCTGTACAGCTGGACGAAGATGTGCGGAACCGGCTGCTTCATCTTGCTGTAATGCTTCATGACACGGTAGACCGTGTCCTCGTGTACGAACTGTTGGACTCTGGCACTATGCCTGGCCACGACAGATCGGCAACACTGAGCAGAATGAGCGCTGCGCAGAGCAGTACTCCATCACAACCTCGGGTAAATGACGACTCAACGTGACCCAGGCTGATCCTTCTCAGCTCTGAGCGGCAAACATTAAGGTATGTCTCGCCAGGCTTTTCGCCAGAAGTGTAGAAGGCATGCTTCAGCCTGAGCACATGGAAAGCAGGGAAAAGAGAAGCATGAGAACACAGCTGAGTCAAGTTCATGCATCCATCAACCGTTGCAGCATAATTCTCCGGGGCCAGGACTCTACTACATTCGGGTGCTTCAACTCCTGCGAATGTCTGCAAGAATGATCCGGAACACATCGCGACGCTGCCACATGGCGTGATTCCGTCAAGAGCCGGCTTCTTCACACATGCGAACTGCGAATCAGCTTGTACGACTACTTCATACATGCAGGTTGACTTGGACATGGGTGCACGAGTACTGACGAAAGTCGTTTGCTCAAAAACCAGTCGATCGAAACCGACGCTTGATCCGGGCATACCATGTCCTTCATGATTTGTAGCTCTCGGTTCTTGTATCGCTTGTCCTCACAAGCGAGGCACGTCAGCACCACCTGTACGAGGGCAGAACGAAACGCCTGGAAAACCTTCTTGATGGCGACAGACTCACCTGTTTCCACCACCTGAACCGAGATGTTCGATGATGTGATGCTGGTGCTGTCTGGGCACCTGGGCAACCCACCTGGGCTTGGTACACGACTCCGAAAGAACCGCTGCCAAGCACGCGCTCTGCGTTGTATGTAAACGAGGCCTCACGCGAGATTGAACACAGCTGGACGAATGATTTTTGCAAGGTGCATGCCTTTTTGGAGGCATCATCGCCCTTGCCTGCATGCGAAGTTTCGGGAGAGACAGCAGTAAGAACCGTCTGACCGGCCTTCCACTTTCATGTTCTGGAAAGAGTTTTGCAGAGCCCGCAAGTCGCTGGAAGCCTGCCAGCCCCACATTCGCAAAGTAGTTCTCGCTGCGTTCACGGCTTGAGGCGTCGACATCTTTTCCAGCCATGAGGGTACACCTGTGGCATTTCAAGTGGCTTGTGCTTTCTTGGGGCAACACATTCGAATCTACTGAAGCTGCTGGCTTTGAGTTGCAGACGAAGTTGAGCCCGCAACACTCGAAACTCAATCTCCCCCCGTGCTCAGAGATCTGCAAGAGATTCCCCCGGGCACGAGACTGAACAGCAAACTGCTGCGTCAGAGTCAGGGATCAATTAGTAGTTGGTACCAGTACAGTGTACGAACTCGTGAAGGGCTACCCGGCGTCAGTCATGTTGCCACGATGGCACAAAATCTGACGCACGAGGTTCAAATGCTGCGGTCTTTCTGCAACAAACGGCAGCCGACATCAGAAGAAACACACGTGCTGAGAAGGTAACTTCCGGGTGAATTAAGGCAAGCGGGCCCAGCACGCTACCCCTCTGCTGAGCGAACCATCAAGCCGAGCCGTCGGAACCCTGTCGAACCAATGAAATCCAGAACTCCAATTCGGCCACATATTGCTTCAGCGTGCCGTCGTTGAAGAAGATTACGTAGCATCCCGAGCCTGATGCCAGCGAAGATGAGCCTGAGTTCACCTGGACCATGGACAGAACCTCTAGGTTCATGCTCGGTGCATCTTCGCACGATGATATCGATCAAGCACCGAGGTACAGAGCTCCGGAACCCATTCAAGTGCTCCACAGTGGCGCAAAGGTTCATGAATGGGCCTTGCATTATCTGGCATGATGTGTCTGTGTCCCACGATGGCCCAACAACCCGCACGACCGAACTGCTTGCTCTGACATCGGATCCAACAAACAGAGAAATTCCAGCTTCCCATGTGCCTCGCATGCTGCAAATGTGGCTTCGTACGCGATACATGTGGGATCGAACTCTTGTTCAGCCATTCCAGCAAGAATCTCTACTGATTCCAGCCACTGCTGCATCCTGGAGCACGATGTAATTGCAATTGAATAGCTTATGATGTCAGGTTGGCTTGAGTTTTCTCTCATGGAACTTAGCAACCTTGTGGCCATTACAGCCTTGCCAGCCTCCATGAGTGAGCTTAACATGGCATTGAAGCAGACCAGATTGGGCTCCAGTTGCACGACCACCATCTCGTCCAGGAGCGCCAAGGCCTGCGTCCAGGAAGCGGCCTTCTCACAGGCGCTGATTGCCGCACCGTAGCTTATCACATTGGGTCTTTCCGAGCATGCCCGCATCATCCTCAGAACCTGCAATGCAAGCTGGCCTTGACCACCTTTCTCAAAGGCGGAGATCACCGCACTAAAACTTATTGCATTCGGCTGCACATGCTTAGCCTGCATGCGCCACAGCAAATCCCAAGCGTCGACCCACCGACCGCACTTTTCACAAGCACTGATAACTGCACTGTAGCTGACAACATCAGGTCTGGGCCAGGGCCAATCTGAGCCTTCACCTGCTCTCTCCATACTCTTCAGCAGCTCCATTGCCTGTTCCGCTCTGCCCCCTTTCTCCAAGCTGCTTAGAAGGGCATTGCAACAGTGCAGGTTGGGTCCCATCTGCCGTGAATCTTTGAACAATCCCAGCGCTTCTTGCCACTGCCCCTCAGGTGCACAAGCGCTCATTGCAGCACCGAAACTGACTTCCGTCAGTTGCATTGCCTCAGCCCTCATCAAATCCAGAACCGCGAATGCCCATTTGCCTTCGCCACTCGCTCGCCCGCACGCGTGCAGCAATGCTGTGCAACACACGACATTCACCTGGGTGCTCATCTGTCGCGCGGTGCTCAAAAGTTGAGTGCAACGCCGCCATGCAGCTGTCACTTGACAAGCTAGAGCACCCGCTCCAAAGGTGATGGCATTTAGTCGAAGCGACCGGTGCCAAGCATCCCCCAGTAAGCCCAGCGCCACTTCCCAGGCCTGACTTTTGCCACATGCAGCTGCCAGCGCGTTGTGCGAGCTGGTTTGAGTCAGTTGTGTGCTCACGCCCATCAATTCCAACAAAGCTCCCGCCCATCGACTTTGCTTGCCCAAGCTGGAAAGCCGTTTTGACAACCTTGCCTCCTCGCTTACATCGGCATTTTGGGAACTGACACGTCCAGCTCCCGCCGCTTCAATGGACAGCATTCCAGTCTGCCTTTCGGTGGAGACTGAAACCCTTGCCACATAACGATTTGGTATGTGAGTGTCTACGCCAGTCGCCCAAATCCTGCCATCAGCTATGAACAAGATAGGTGTGGAAACTGCCTGCTCTCGACGCGAACACTATCGCTTCTGCTTGCAAGTAACATTGTGACAAATGCCCCCTTGCCCTCACTGACCAAGCAGCACGTACCCTTTCTTTTAGGCTTCGGTGACAAAGCCGCCTCTCGACAAGTTTCTGTCGCGACGGCCTGTCTGAGCTCTTGTGCCGAGGTCATTAGATCACTTCGTGCTAATGTCGTTCCTGGCGAGAAGTGCGGCAGGCTCAGACAGATACAACAATCTCACAATCTCACCCGCACCTGTGGACCTCTACAGTAGTCGAGGCTAACCGTCCCCAAACTCCAGGAGAACTACATGTTTTGCGCATGTTAACCTAAGCCATACATGCTTGTTCAGACTCAGTGCCCCCAAACCAGGTGGACCAGGCCACCAATGTGGGTGTACGACAGTCAGTCTTTGTGTCTTGGACTTGTTGAAGCATCAGCTCGAAACTGGCGGAATGTTGAGTCCGGCCATGATAGATGTGCATTAAAAACGCACCCGCGGAAAGGCACTCTTTTAATATCACGGCTCTTTGCTTGGTGTAGACTAAAGCCAACAGCGCCTGTTCATTGGTTAGTGATGTCGTCCAGCTCATCCGTTTCATTCATTACGCCTAATTACAGCAACTGTCTCTCCCTCTTCTTCGTCATGTTCGCGCACGTAAGTAAATACGTCCAACGCATGCATGCGTACATATATGCATACTTGCATATCTCGGTACATGCATAACCTCGTACATACATACCAACACGCCTCTGTACCTGCACCTACCTAGCTTCCTACCTGCCTACCTGCCTACCTACCTACCTACCTACCTACCTACCTACCTACCTCCCTACCCGCACACACACACACACATGGGCAGACGCCTGTGACTAAGACCGTGTCTGATATACATGTACGAAATGCAGGGAGGGCAGGGAGAAGGGGGGGGAGCGGGAGAGGGAGAGGGAGAGGGCCGGCGTGGCTGAGTTCTGGGTAAGTCGACTGCTTGTGACGCGCGGCGACCCGGAGCACAGCGCCATCATTTTCGGAGGCACCCGTCTGTGGTTGACCTGCCGGGGTAGGGGGGAGACTAGGGTTGCTTCCGCGGTGCCATTCCGTACACGACGAGGTCGAGCCGTCGGCGGTCATCGGACGGGGAGGGTGAGGAGAGAAAGAAAAACAGAGAGAGAGAGAGAGAGATTTTCTTCAGAGACCCAGTGGAAGAGGGCTCTCATCACAGCATACGGTCAGAACACATTGCGGGAAGACCGACGTGCCGTTGATGGCGACGTCAAAGCGTGGAGTGAACCTTGCGGTCGGTGCCTGCCTCGGAGTTTGCAACGCTTCCCCTAGAGACCAGCTTGAAGGATTGCGACCTGAGGCGCCGTCGATCGCATCGATATGGGCAAAGCAGTGGTCTCGTCGCCTCTCGTAGTAATGTATGTCCTCTCTTGCCTCGGAACATACAAGACGCAGCTGTGAGTTCTGAAGATTCTGAAGTGGCTGCCAGGTTGGCAGACGATAGTGGTCGTAGTGCCTACATCGATAGACTTAACAGCCGTTGGGGATTCGTAGTGGCGGGACGCATGAGCTCTTTCCGGTGATGCTAGGGGGTCGCGGTGCAACTTCTCGGTCGTGGTATCCAGTTCCAGGCCAAGCCAAGACAGCCAGCTGTCATGCAGAGCATACCTCTTGACTTTCAGGCATAGGTTGCTTCACACTCCCGCCATCGGTTTTTTTGATCCGGATCGCCGCTAACCCTGGCGGTTTGTACCTGCACATGCTTTGTACATTCACCCCGCGACTCGGCATACATCATCCAGCGGAGAATCCACGTGATCGTGAGCGGGGGCAACTAACTGCTGGCGGAGCCCACAGGCAAACTGAGTCTGCAGCAGTCGTGGCGTAGAGGATGCCTCCATGTGTTGGACATGCTTGCAGGTTTTTGCAGTTCTTCTTTGCAGGATCAAAGCACAAAGAGCAACAGAAAAACTTGGGAGATCTTATACAGAACATGTCGATGTGACATTGCATGGCCGTCTGCAATTTGCTTGGCATCTCCTGGATGCTTGAAGCACCACATCACTTCAGATGTGCTGTGAGAGAGAGTGCCTGTGCGTGTGTGCACAATAGATGGCGTACCGTACCAGCTTTCCTTTCCAAATGTAGCGTGGCATGCCCCTTGTAGCACACGACACGATGACATCTGCTTGGCGACATTGATGACATGTCGAAACTTTGCTACAGGAAGAACGGCGCAGATGCACGCATGTCGTGCTCATGTCATCCTTTTGAATCTGGATCTCTCTGATAGGGGCTACACGCCATATGGTAGATGCTGTGCTACACGTACTCAGAACACTGGAAGTGCACGATCAGTTGTCCGGTCTGACGACACTGAAAAATGTTTAACAGGTTTCGAGAGTTGGAAGAAACCGCCTGCCCAGTTTGCGTGCCAGAGAGAGCTAAGTCAATCAGCCATTGAACGAGGTCACAAAGTCTGGCGAGAGCGTTTACCTATTTCCTAACTTGACCCTTTGACGACAGCTTCCTGACTACTACAGTGTTGATGCAGAAAGCCACCGGCCAATTGCAAAAGCCTTTCCGATTGAACAGCCATATCCTTACGACATTTCAAAGGTTGTTCCTGGGCGCACAAAGAGCAGACACTTGGTTCGACAATCCTGAGCACAACGCAGGTGAATGATGAACATCTAGCACCAGTATGTCGATGACAGAATTCACAGAGAAAGGATTCAAGGTGAAGGCAAAGGAACAAAAACATCGTTTTCGGGTAGGTGGGCAAAGGCAAAAACCGGGAAGCACGGAAAACGATGCTTCAAATGCAGAAGCCCGAATCACTGGAGTATAGATGCCCAAACAAAAGGGTCTCAACATTGCGTCGAGCGATTCGGCACGGAGAAGACGAGATATGGTGCGGGAAGACGACTACGAGCATTCGTAAGATGACGGATATGTGTCGGAGCCCTAGACCATGGATGGAATGAAAGGCACGGATGGTCACCGAATGATTAGTTACTACGATGACTGGTACGAGGCTCGAGGATGCAAGGAATGGCGCAAGTTGGAATGATGTGATATGGAAGAAATGGAACCAAGCCCCAAGCACGACTGAAAGTACTCCTGATGCCACGCACAATGACCAACATTCAGAAAGGTCATCACACTGCTTCCTGAGAACTAAAAATTGTCCTCCGATGACGAATTGCCAAATGCATGTGTCAAGGAATCAGGACATGCAGCGACCAGGAATACTGATCGATAAACGGTGATTGAGATTCACGGCTCATTTCTGTCGACTGAGAAGGACGTCTGTCTTCTGCCTCGAGAGCGAGCGAGCGAACGCGCGCGGGCGGGCGGGCGGGCGGGCGTGATGGCAAGGGGGTGGCGGGCGGGGGTGGCAGTGGGCGGGTCGGGGGTGGGTTGGGGGTGGGTGGGTGGGCCCGGAGCAGTCTGGCGCCTGGTGAAGCCGGCGGGAGGGCGCGCACCCAAATCTCTGTTCGCCTGCACGCGTCCTGCGGACACATCTTGTACTGCACGTTCCCTGCCCTCGCAGCAAGTGCCACCTGCCTGCGCTTCGATCCGCTCCTTCCCGTCTGCGATAGAGCACACCTCCATCTCTTAGCAAGGGACGGAACACAGTCTGGATGGGCAGTACACCCAAAACGCAGCAGTAGGACACTCGCCAACCAGGGAAAGCTGCAGGAGAGAACACGAAGTTTTCGGATGGAGTACAAAAGTAACACTGCCAAAGCAGCAGATCTAGCATAAGATCCTGCCTACTGTTGTTCCAAGATGTCTCAAGCATCTGCACTTTTCGCGTCGTCAGTGCAGCACACAGATTTCCCAACCAACGTCAGTACGACTACCGCTGGAATCTCTCTCGGCCGTGAATTGACAGTCTGGCTACCACTGCCGCCACTGCCCCGTCGAACTAGACGCATGACAAGCGCACTGTGCATATGACATCTTAGCAGCTTCACAGAGATTGGAAACACTGAAACTCCATCTTCGCATCGGACCTCCGAGCAGCGCTCTGAGAGCTTCGACTCCTCGGCAGCTGATACTTTGTGCCCTGCGGCCGCTGTGGCCGACAACAACCTCTGAAACAAAGTATCATCATCACTTCCACCATCTTTATGAACAAGTCTGCATCCGAAGAATCATCCTCGAAAGTTGCCGTGTGCAGCCATACATGCTGGAGGTGTTTGTCGAATTCGGCGGGGCAAACTCCAAAACGTCTAAGCATTGCGTTCAGGCTACCTGCAAGCACTCGCCCCAGTCGTCCTGCTACACCTGTACTTGGGGGTTTAGACATCAGCAGATCCCACTATACTGACACTGGGCAGTCCCTGCGCACTCTACCAGACCAACATGCGCGACTGACGTCTATGCGCAGTCGACACTTGCTCGACGTGGATAACTCAGAACTTATCACCATTTACGTACTCTGTCTCTGCTGCACTCACACCGTCTGCATGTGTGGGTACTGCTAGATGATGCCGGCGTGCTGAATGTACACTGCGGCGCTAAGGCCCTGTCAAGCTGCCCCATCCCGCAGCTCGGCCTCAACCACAGTACATGCTTTGCCGGCGATGCCGACAGAAGACAGCTCCAAGATGCAAGCAACGGCAAGCCGCGCGCTCAACCATACATCGTGGCATGGGCTAACGGAATGATGGGTTTTGCTTTCTTGCTGTCTCGTGACTACAACTTCCACAAATAGATCTGCCGTCAACTGGTATCTAAACTATCCACACATCTGTCGTGCACCTACCTCCCTTAGATCCAATTAGCAAATGGTCAGCGAAGAAGCATGTGCTGAAATCTCACACATGGTATTCATATGGCTTCCCTTCACTCGCCCGTAGCAGCTGTCCTTTTGGACATGTCTCGCGCTCGGACTCACTCTCTTTTACCAGGCCCATGAACTTGTTGAATGACCTGAAAGGCTCACTGAAGGGGCACGGCCCGCCACGGACAGCACACACACTCCAGGCAGCAGGCGCCCAATAGTCCGCGCCACCAATCTGAGGTGTGTCATTGTGACCACCCATGGGAAAATTGAAGCACCTGAGTGCGAAGCTGCAGACAAGTCCGCCGGCAATATTATAGCTTGCACTCAATGAGTGGTACTGCCGGACCAGAGATTCCCAAAGTATGCCACTAGGCTGCTGAAGATGAAAATGCCAAATCTTGAACATGCTAGCCTTCAGGAGGCCTACTGCACTTCTGATGCACGGCGGCCCATAAAAAAGTCGGACCGCACGCCAGAAGCCAGCAAAATGTGACACTTGCTTCAGATGGTCAGCTGAGGCTTTGGCTTCAACACTCTTGGACGCTGCTTAGACCTTTCGTCCAGCTCAGCACAGAACAAGTCCTTGCTCTGGCATCTACAAGCTGCGAGACATGTGCAGCCGAAAGGCAGTAACATGTAGAGCTCCTTCATCTGGGCTGGAGGTACTATTTGATCCTGACAGGAAACCATGAGGAGCCACTCGTTGGCCGAGCTGACTTCTGGCAGCCGAATGCACAAAGCACCCAGGCCTGCAGCCCACTAAACAGGCAGCAGCACCACAGCTTGTGATTGCTTGCGAAAAATTGCAAGCCTCGGTACCGCACTGGCACGTCCTCAAATGCTCTTGACAAACGACCAATGATCTCTTGAGTAACATGAGTAACTGAGCTCCAGTTGGGCACAAAAATGGACTCTCGGGGCTGCAGCTTTCCGCGGAAGCCCACTCGTCAAAGATCAAAGGTGCCCGCAGCAATGGCCTGTAACCGACCAAAACGAGGGCAGTTTCCTTGTCGAGTCATGTTCGTGTTATGTTGCTTTCCGGTGTCAGTCTCAGAGTTTCGGAAAGGCTACAGGAACTTCACTAAACTCTGCATGGCTTGAGGTGGCATTGATGCCTTGACTCAAGGCTGCGGTACACAAGCTCACAGCATCTCGCACCACGGCTTGGGGCACAGATGCGGAGTAGTACAGGATTTATCTCAGGCCATGCGCAAGGTGATGTTTGAGCTTATCCGCTTGTGGTCAGCATGGGCCTGAGTATCGACAGGAAGGGAAACATCTGCAGGGCCATTTCTCGCCTGAGGCTGCTTCTGCTGGACAGTTGTAGGGTCATCACTGGTGACTGATCATGAGGCCACGACAATGACGTAAATGTGTTTTCCAACACAATTCCTGCTGGCAACGGCAGGCCGCCAGCCTAAACCACGCAAGACACAAGTCGAATGTGAGGCTAGCCGGCTGAGGAAGAATCAACTTCAAACATCTTCAAAGCATTCGCTCCAAACTCTGCCACACCTCGTCTTTTGGGATCGACGCCTCGTCACACGGGTATGGGGACGTCCACATATACCAAGACTTTAATGCAAACGCAACGACTGTGCTGACACTTCTTTTGCTTCTTCACGAAGGCATGGAGAAATTCTCTGGCGTTTTGCACATCGTTAAACATCTGTGTCTCCATAATTATTTCCCTATGGGGGTTGCAGGACCCTGTCTTGAAACAGCAACTTTGTCCTTTCTTCTTCTCCCCTCTGCCATTGCCAGCTTCTGGAGCTGCTTCGAGTCTGCGTCAAAACCGACTTTTTTGACACTTCGACCGTGAGCTACCCCAAAGGTGTACCACGTAGAGCGCAGAGGAGGGGCAAATGATTTTCAATTCCCTCCCCCCCGCCCCCCTCCCGCCTTTTCCGTTTTGTGAAGTGAGCTTGCCAGGGACAAGGGATGTGTAATTCACCCTTACCATCTCCTTCAGAGCATTTGCATGAAAAGGTCCAGCCCTCAACTTGAGCCATGTATCCTTGTCGCCAGTTGTCGAAGCAGCTGTTTCAAAGACAGCGGAGATATACTGCAGTAGAAGCCTACTTTTCGCAGCTGCACTTGTCGTGCCGAATTTGCCAAAAGCAAATCTGCGAATCTATGTCGAACTCTGTTGTTCTTGTGTCGGGGCTCCGATGGATTGCCTGATTCAACAAAAACTCCTGTTGGACACAAATGTTGGATCATGTTTGATATGTTTGGGATTGGCTTTTGCTTTTTGGCTCGCACATGGCCGCTTTAATCAGGTGATTGCCCCGGGTGCCAGGTTGTGCGAGTGGAAAACGATGCACCCTTCCAAATTTGATCTTATTTGATGGTGACAACCTGTCTCTGGCAGGAGCGTGTGGGTCTCACTCGGGCAGACCTGCCAGCAGGGTACTTCCCTTCATCTGTCATTTTCCCTCCGTGTTAACCTGTAAACATACCTGCATCAGCAGAGCCTGCTTTCGAGCACGGGTCCTTTTTACCACAAAGCAAGACAAACCCTGTTCTGGCTCGCAGACTCTCACCAGGTTGAAAGTGCTGCTCGTTGCCGTTGGACAGGAAACGCAAGCAGCTGACACGGAACCGTCGCCAATTAGCCTGTCTTGCCAAGCACGGCTGAGTAGGCGAGGCTGACGAAGAACGCAATTTCCATGAGCTTACCGTGTGGACAGCACAAAAAGCTCGTCTGCATTTCCCTGCACTGGGCTGGGATTAGTGGGATCATGAGGCAGGCACGCCTCTGGTTGAAACTTTCAATGGCTTGGGTTTCGCATGGTTTCGCCATCGTCTTCCTCCGCAGCAAATCCTCAGGCACAACGGATTGAAGGTCGCCACCAATTGACACACCATTATGGTAGGCCGTGCCCCCCCTCAGCTTTTGGCATTCGGCCGGAGCAGGAAAGCGCATGCCGACACCAGGGCTCTTGGTATATTAGAAAAAACTTATCGACTATTATGGACACAGCCAGCTTAGAGCTCAAATGACACCCAAGAAGCCATCGTGTTGGCTTTGGCCCACACAAACAGCAACGTCGAAGTTCGGGAAGTGTCTGGTGCATGCACGAGGCGTGTAAGCCTCCCGTCCCTGACTTCGACCGCATGTGTTGCTTGCAAGGACTTGGGTCGGTCCTTTTATGGCTGAACTGGTGCAGCCCAACGGATGGATGCTTCGTCGGTCAAGTCGCCGGTGCAGTTGTAGAGAGCCCTCAGCTGGCAAAAAAAATGCCAGCCCCTTTCCTAGCAACAAGTTTTTGGCAAATTGGTGGCAATTGCTAGTCTGCACTTCCTCTCAGCTCGTGCGGGGTCGATATTCTGCCCTTGGCTTGCGACCTCATGTAAATTCGCACCGATGTCAACATATAACAATGTAATGCTTACTCGCTCTTGAACTTTGGGACGTCGTGTTTGTCTGCATTCTGTGAAATGATGAGCCCTTCAAGCCACTGTCTGTTCCAAGTTCTCTTTAGACAACTTTCCTCAGTTGTGGTCGTTGTCCGAATGCCAACAACGGTCGAAAGCCCATGGCTCTTGTTTGCTAGTCTTGCTCACCATTTTGCCTGTTCCGGTGTTCCTGCTCGGGGCTTTTGAAGCGCCTTGGTCGTCCGCCCGTCACAAGGTGAGCGGGACACCGACCGGGCTGAAAGCAAAATCTACTGCTCCCTGCACTCAGTAGGCTGCATCAGTGTCAGTGCAGCAACATTCTGCGCATCGACTCGAGGGCAGCAGGGCAGCAGGGCCTCGTCCTGCTTCTGTTTCAACCTGTCGAAGCAGAAGCATTTCATGGACGTGAAAATGTCGCAGGTCACACATGCTTCGTCTCGATACGCAAAACCAAAGACTTGTCCGTCTCTTGCCAATCACCAACAAGCGGCACATGGGCAGCAAGCTTGACTGCCACTGCGCCACCGATGGAACGGCCAAAGAAGAGAATTCGATCGTCGCCTCGGAAAGTTTGGCAGCGTCAGCCGCCGGGTTACACAAAGAATCAATCTTCCGAAACAAGCTCGACTCTCAAGCCCACGCGAATCTGCATGGAGCCGCCATTGACACCTGGACAGTAGCCAGCATGGTTTCCCAGGTTCCTGTTGTTGTGCACTCCCCCTCGGTTCAAAGATGTTCCCTCAAGGATGCGCAAGTCGAGCTTGGGGTTCTCAAGTCTACGCATCCACACAGCAGCGCCATTACACGAAATTCAATCACAACTAGGTCAGGAGGCTTCAATAGGGGGATCTTTACTGGTTCTTGACGGGATGTCGCTCTGCCTCTCAGGCATGCGCTTGCTGCAAGCAGTCCCGCAAGTAGAGATCTACCCAGTACCGACTTGAAGTGTCAGTGCTTCTCGCACGTTCCAACGTGCCATGGCAGACAGCAAGCGTCGCCTGACTTTCGAGCCCGCTGCACGAGCCACCGGTACGCAGCCTCTGCATCCTCCGCAACGCAATCAGTCGCCCCATCCAATGTGGCGCAAGAGGTGCATTTAACAGCACTGTGCACCACCCTGCCTGCAAGAAGCCATGCTCCGATGGGCCGCTTCCATCCTTTTCAAACTGACACAACCGAGATACACCACCTTCATGATCCTTCATGGGACTTTGAGATGCTGATCTTGGCCTCAGAATCGCCGTAGCCACGGTAATCGAGAATCAACACATTGACAGACAACCTTGCAGAAATCTCGCTACCAATCGCACCGAAGACAGCTCTACGTTCAGATCTCGGCTGCTTGTACATGTCTTTCACATTCTCCAAGCGGTGGCCGATGTTTCCTGATGAATCCGAAACACGGCATTGTCAGTGACGCCAGCCCAAGCAAGTGATGCGGAAATACAAATGCTACGCTTTCACTCGGCGATCTATTGCCGGCTACGCAGTACTTGACCGTCGGGATTTAGACGATGGTGGTCCGAAAATGCCAACGGAATCTCCAGGAGGAGCTGGACAAAAGTCAGTAAAAAGAATGTGAGTGTGCGTCCGTGCGCGCGTGCGTGCGTGCATGCGTTCGTGCGTGCATGCCTGCGTGCGTGCCTGTGCGGGCGTGCATGCGTGTGGGCAGGCCCGCGGGAGGGCGTGTGGCTGCGTGCGTGCGCGTGCGCGTGCAATGATACGGCCTGCGTGCAGAGCATAGCAAACAACGCCATGATCTGAAATTTGCCGATGGTTGTGCATCGCCACTGTCTGAGGCTGCATCCAGCATTTCCATGGAAATACCTTACCGGGCTTGCATAGGACAATGCAGCGAAAGTTCCACATGTCCCCTGCATCCTTGCAGCCAGGAGGCAAGATAGTGTAAGGCACCGCGTCCGCAGAACCTTGTTACATTTACAGGGAGAACTGAGCTCAGGATCGATGAGTTGCTGCGCCGCTGACATGTGCAGCAACCCACGAAATCTGCGGCCGCTTAGGGTCCCCACGATTATACTGTTGATAGAATGTTACAATAGGAGCGCGGCGTCGTTCTTGCTGGGTAATTCTGGTTTAATTGCATGTCCTTTTTCCAGTATCACACCACACAATACTTGAACCGCGGCTTGAGGCAGTGGAAACGGCGAGCGTCCCGCTCCTTCTGTGACCCTGCTATACGACTTGGGAGTGACTTTACGAAAAAGAAACGAAACCAAGTTTCCTATCGCTGATGATCCAACCATGTTCTCACCATCGCTTATGAAGAGAAGCGGGCTACTTCGAAAGTCACAAGAGTCACAGCATTCCCGAGTCAGAGGCACCCTGCAAGATGTGCGAATATCTGAGAATGCGGCCGGCAGCAGGCTGGTAAACAAACCAAGCCGCAAGTCTGGCCAAGATGTCGTGTGGACGACAACAGCCAGGCAAGCAGATGCAGTGGCCTCACACCATCCTCGGTCAAGATGGTGACATCTTCATAGGGTAGCTGCCATTCCTGCACCCCCAGAAGTTGATTGAAAAATGCAAAATAGTGAATAAAATTGAACAACGCACTCTGGCGATGCACCTCTGGGCTCCGAAACATTCGCGGGCCCATTTTTGGCGACCGCTGTGTTCCAGGCGGAACTGGCCTGGACAATCGTCTTCGACAAAAGATAGTCTGACTGATCCAGATCCCCAGATTCACATACCGCCTCATCGTGGATTCGGCTTGCGCCGGTTCCATACACAGCCCGACACCCAATTGCTACCACACGAACATGCTGCATGGAAGCTTCATGCCCTGAATCGAGGGCCAAACACGTACAGGATGGAGCGCTGGCGCGACACCAAAACCTTCTAACAGGAATGACGATGAAGATATCATGTCTGGAAGCGGCACACAGCCCTTGGCTGGGCATCCCGCAACAATGAATAGAACACAGAGCACCAACCTTGGCATGGTGCGTTGGAAGCTTGACGTCGGGAAGGCCACCACACCAACTACTTAACTACAGTACTCGTGCTGCACGGACAGGGCACGCAGTTTGCAGGGCTCTGCAGCCCTGCATGTTGTTGATGCACATCGACTAACGACTAACTTCAATAGCTCAGCGAATTCAGAAGTAAGGAAATAGCAGCATTTGGCCAAACCGTGTAGCTGCCCAGAGTAGCCATCCAATGAATCCAGTTTCCACAGCCTGCCGCACGAGGCTGCGGAAAATTCATCTGATCGACACACTACGTCTTGACCACCAACCAGAAACCTGGCAGCACTTTGTGCACATGCTTGGCCTCGGTGTCATCTTGTCCAGCTTTTGAGGCGCTGAAAAAAACCAGTCCAAGAACCAGAGTAACCTCAGCACAGGTGGGAAGGTGTCTCGCTTTGAAGCTCGTGCAGAGCACGCAATGCAGTACGGATTCCATGATCTTCCGACCCAGGCCCAGGATGAGCCGGTGAGATCGGTGAGAGCAGCGAAGGCCCTCTGTCCGAAGGTCGAAGCATCCGAGGCCCGGATAGGCGGCAGATCTCTTTGCAAAGCAGACTACCGGCAAGGCACGGAAGGCCAAAGCTCCTGCCACCGCGCATTCGTCTGTGGACGCTTTCAGAAAAGACCGGTATTGACCCGGGAAGCTGGGCAGGACCTTGTTCAGGTGACTCGGTGGGGAAGACGACCCGATGGAGCAAAAATCGGGCACTGACAAAACACCGAGGACGAGGTTGGTTTCTTCGCAGAAGCAGCGAAGAGAATAATTCCGGGAGGGAGCAGCAGAGACCCTGCTGGTGAGAGGTGGCACATGGCAGGCGGAAGTGGCCTTTTTTGGTCCCGATGGCTGCACCTGCATGCCCTATTACTGCTAGACTGCAACACCACTCGACACATCAGGCGCGGGCACATATGGGCACATCATGTTGAGGCCGTGGCTGCTGCTACGACAGAAGTTGTTGGAAGGCCGCGTGACCTAACGGGCAATCATGTAATGGGATCACAGGATACCGTGTTTCCAAGCTACACAGAGAAGAAGTGCAAGGCGCAAGACTTGTCTGCATCACAACGACATCACATTGACAAGTCGCAACACAAACAGAAATTCGTCATTTCGCGGGAGCCTGTGACTGTGAACACCTACCACGACAACTCTGTGGATGCTTGTCCGGAACTTCCTCGCTGTTGCACGACGCCGAGGCACAAGGTGTCGGTACTGTGAAGCTCAAGTTGTTCAAACAAATTGGCCTTTTGTGACATTTTCGGCTGTAAGTCGGCCAGCTACAAAAACATAAGGATCCGGCTTCAAGTCTACATTCGGCGCAGAGGTGCTCATGCACCACCTTCCACTTGGAGTAGACCGAGTCTCCACTGACAGCTGCTGTTGCAATTGAGCCAGTTGGCTTCGAAGGCTCGATGTTTGAAATATTGGATCTCCCGTATGCCAAAGACATCAAACGCAGTGCGAATATGTCGTCGGAAATGTCGTGTCTTTGACACCAGCTGCTTGCAGTCTGACCTATTGCGTTCTCGTGCGTCTCATCACTTCACATCCTACAAACAAGCAGAAATTAACAGGAATCTTCGACAATCAGCCTTGCTGAGTTCCTGGTCTACACATTCCGGTGAAACACTTACCGGCAGCAAGCGCCGCCCTGCAGCTTTGGCAACGCTGCGGCAAGCCTCCAGTTCCTCCAGCTTTTAATTAAAACTTCTGTTGCTCACAGGCCCGGGACAAGCGGTGCTTCAGCGTCATCACCGGCACGGCTCTGGGCTGAGGCTACTTGACGATGAACACTACATGCTCGCATCATCGTGCCCAGCAGGACGAGCATGCTTGCACAGCCAGCCACGAAGGAAAGAAGAACTTCCTGACCGTGTCTACCTTCAAGTATTTGCACCTGACGATGCATCGCCCCGTACTCTTGCAACATGTTCCATCGGCCTGAGTGGAGTGCGGGTATCCTGCTGCCATATTCAATGGGTGCAACAACCTTGTTGAGCCTTCGGGTCCTTTTCTTTCGCCCCCCGACTCCACAAGACATTGAGCATTGCCCCCACGGTCCCCACACAGCCCAGGTACAAGCCACCTGGGTTCCACAATTCTGATTGTACGGGCAGGCGTTGGTCTGCACGACATCCGCCGGCGGACATTCCTGGCCACCATTTTGAGGAAACATCAAAATGTGTCTTTTCCTCGTCCTCTCCCCTCCGCAGGACGTGCACGCACCCCAATTGTGCCATTCTCCGAGGACGCAGTCAATTGGATCGTGCACTTCATGGCACAACATTCGAGCACACTCGAGGACCTCCACCAACGGCTCCTGGCAACCGAAGCCTCCGTTGTAGGCCTCCTGCGCAATGTGGCGGCTTCGTTGGCGCTCGCCACCACCACAGGTGGCTGAGCACTCTGTCCACTGTCCCCATGGATGAAGCTCACAATCTACGGGTGGACCTCGAACACACTCGTCCAGCAGCTGGGTCTCCCTGGCAGGATTGCAAGGCCTCAGCTCTTTGAGGGCTCCAGAGCAGAAGGATCCATCACCATGGCCAAACTCGGCAACCTTTCGCGAGCGCATCGAAACTCCATCGCAGCTTGATGAGCAATCGTTCCATTCAGTCCAAGGAGTTAAAAGACAATCCTTGGATCCGTGGCACGGGATATCCACGTTGCAGAATCTGCTCTCTCTACTTTCGCCAGCTGGTGGAGAGCCGCAGTCGTTGGCCATTACAGCCACGCTACGCCTCCGGAACGTTTCTCCACCATTGCACGACCGAGAGCACGGAGCCCATTCTTCCCACTCGTCCCAGGCCCCGTCCACACAATGGACTGAACAGCCACCAAGGTTGCACGGCAACACTTCGGAAAGGGATTTCTGAGAGCAGGTATCACCGCCTGCGGTTGGAATTGATCGAAGAGTTCGGCTGCGCTTCATCAGTCCGCCTCCACATGTCTTGGAACAACCGGACCACTGTTGCCAGGCGCCCCAGTCACAGTCTGCAGCACAACTGCGGCCGTGGCAAAGACGATTCTGAGCCAAGGGAGAGAAGCATCCAAGGCCTCCGGGACCACGAAGTCTTTGGACCCGACGAGTCCTCGATTGATATCCGGAGCCACAGGAGGCAGAGCAAGAGCTCCATTCGAGCCACTGCGACACTTCACAATCCTCGGATTTGCATGGGGGAGATGCACATGCCCGGATCTGAATCAGGTCTTCAGGACAAAGAGTACCACCATACTCGGGAAACTTGGAGATTTGGCGCTGTCGGCGGGAGTGCCCGCTGCCACAGGATGCAGAGCACTCATCCCAATCCGTCCACTGGGAAATGATGCAATCAACGTCCTCACGGCAGCTTTCCGTTTCGAACAAGGAGCCAGAACAGGGCTTTCCACCCGACCGGGCTTCTTGATGGACGCCACGATGGCGCTCTCGTTGCTTACCAATGCCACAAGAGCTCCAGTCGTTCCAATCATCCAGCCTGCAATTCTGACGAACATTGTCTTCGCAACCTGAATGCCAACTACGGCAAGCTTGGACCTGCTGCAAGACTCCGTGGCACTGTCTCCCACCATCCTCCGCGACTTGATGCAAATGGCGAGTCCGCATCTTCGTGCCTTCACCACAGACTGCAGAGCACTCGGTCCACGGCAGCCAGGGGGCGAACAGACAAGGCTCGGGCATTTCAGCCTCACAAGGTTTGGTTTGTAGCAAATCTCCACTACAAGCCAAGCCCCCCTTCTCCGGCGCGACGACTACGTGCCGATGGCGGTAGTGCTGCCCCTTTATGGCAGCCGATGTGAGGTTCGTGCAGTGACCCCAGGCAGTCCATGGCGACAGCTTGCAGTCCACAGCATGGCCACAGTCCGTATGACAGTGCTTCGTTTCCAGGAGCGGGCCCTGGCAAGGCTCTCCACACTCGTTATTCATCATTCCAATAACCCGGTGCCTTTCACAGAGACCCACACAAGTGGCATCCGTCCACTGACTCCATGCATTGAAGCGGCAGTCTCGAGGGCTGCACTGCTCGCAAGAGTCCTTCGTGGGGCACTGGGCCACGTCGACCTGGGAGCCAAAGCAGCTTGAGTGCTTGTCGCCTTTGAAGAAAAAGCTGTTGGGATAGCTGTGCGCTGGCAACAGCTTCATCTCTCTGCTGCGGAGCGTCGTCAAGGTCCCACATTGGTCAGGGCACTTTGCACAAGACCAATCTGTCCAAGCACACATGCGAGTCTCATGGCAGATCGACGAGCAATTTGAAACTTCCTTCATGCTCCAATCTTGACATAGCTTGCCACCATGGCATGGCATAGCGACGATGCTGCGATGACGCCATCGCTGTCCTCCACAATGGCTGCAGCTGCCCCACTCCGACCAAGCGCCCAGAACACAATCGCGTTTGTTGTGAGTCTGGCAAGGCTGTGTGTTGCATTCCCTTGTGTGCATCAACTCTCCCTCGCAGGGCTTCCCCCCGTGCGCCGAGTGATGGGCAATGCTTCGCTTTCGGGTTTGCTGCCCAGGTCCGCAAGTTGCTGAACAGGTGCTCCACTCTTCCCATTGGCGCAGAGAACAGTCTCGCTGCTCCACCTCACAAGCTTCAGGAGGCTGTGCTCCTTCCAGTGGGTTGCACTGTTCGATCACCTTCAGCTGCATGTCCTCACACGGCCGCCCACGACCTCTGGCATACTCGGTAATGTGGCGATTCCGCTCACGAACTCCATTGCAACTACAACTGCACTCCGACCACTCGCCCCAAGTGGACAGCGAGCAGTCTTTGTCGCTCTTGCAATCATGCAGGTCGTCGCACAATTCAAACTGCTCTCGCAATCCTGTGGGCACGGAGCCGCAAGAATTTGGCAGCACCTGAGACTGCAGTGAATCTTCAGTTGTGAGCTCTCAATGCATGCACCCCCTTCCCTGTACGAACCCTTCTCTACGAATTATATATGACGTTGTCAGAGCCCCCAAACCTCTAGGGAGCGTCGGCGGGAGCGGTAGCTTGAAGAGCAGGTGGCTGAGCACTGCGTCCAGTCCATCCAAGCACCCCAGTAGCCATCTTCGCACGTAGTGTCACATTCCATCGTGTTGCAAACGGCTATGACCTCTTTGTCTTTGGCCTGGCAAGGTGCTCCTCCGTTCTGTGGCGACATCTCAATTGCACGGCTTCGTCGCTTCGTGCCGCCACCACAGGAGCAGGAGCAACCACTCCATTCCCCCCACTCACCCCAGATGCAGTCGATCGGCCTTGGTGGTGCAATTTTGCATGACGCAAGCTCGCTCATGTCACCAAAGCATCCAGTCGCATCTAGGCCCGCCGGTCTCAGGATTGTCCGCTTTCTCCTGGTCACCCCGAACCCCACTTTCGCTGAGCATATGCCCCATGTAGTCCAATCGCTGAACTCGCAGTCGAGAGAATGCGAGAAACATGGGCGCATTTGGCAGGGAGCTGCTTGCTTCAGCTTCAAGGCCGCACAGAAATTTCTACGAGACTTGCCATGCAGTAGCTCGCGTGAGCGAAACTTCTGCCCGCCATGGCAAGTGCGATCACATGAGGACCATTCAGACCAAGATGTGACTTCACAGTGGTGCGGAATCTTGCTCGTGCAGCCCGTGGTCTCAACCAAGCTGGAGTTGCATTCCCTGCCGAGTCCCTCCGGGTTCTGCAGAACGGATCGGTGCCTCATTCGCTGTATGCCGGCCGCCCCACAGAAGCTCCAATCCGTCCAAGCAGAGAGCAAGCAGTCCTTCGAAATGCATGGCTTCATCTGGCATGTATGGGTCTCTAAAAGAGAGCTCTCACATGTCTGGCCACTTAAATGCCCTTCACTTCGGATCTTGCGGAGCCGGGTGAATCGACCCTGTCCGCAGGATGCGCTACAAGTCGTCCAGGACTGCCAGGGGTCGAAAATGCACGGCTGAGGCCGTGGTCCTCCACATGGCCTTGTCTCTGATGTCGAGCCCATGCAAGGCTCCCCGCTGTTGGATGATGGCTTGTCAACCCGCCTCTTACGAATGGACTGGTCCTTTTCGCTCTTGCAGGAACTCCACTCCCCCCAGGCAGACATTACACAATCTTGTGGTGCTCCACCACATTCAGTGGCGTACCAATGTTTCGACTCGATGCCCGACCCATAGCACGGCAAGCCGCACCGATTGCTCGGAACTGCGATGCTGCGGTGGCGGAACATGAGACCGATGCAGCCAGAGCCTGGCCACCAGTCACTCCACTCCGAAAACATGCAGTCCACAGGCTGACAGGTCTCGCATTCTGGCAACTCTTCGCATCGAGCAAACTGCTCCTCATGGCCACCACATTCATGCCCATCAGCACCGTAGATGTTCAACGCAGAGCCCACGCTTGCACTATCACTGTCAAAGTCATAGGGAAAGCCAGGAGCTGTTTCGCTATCCTGGCCCCTTGTCAATGCGAGGATGCACAAACAGCGAGCCGCAAAGCTCCATCCCGGTGGTGCCATAGCGTAGGACCACTTGAGATCCTGAAAGCTGCAAGGAAAAGCGAATCCTCCTGAAGCAGGCAGGATGCAGAATGCGCTACACGGCATACAGTAGGCAAGCATGATGCTGGCAGGTTGTTTGTGCACAGGCACTCTTTTTTGCAACCTGCCGTTCAATCAGCAGTCACTGCACGGCTTGATCCGTCTCTGTGCAACTCAGCTACATCACGCCTGCATGAAGCTATGTCTCAGAAGGCTTACCCTGCGTTGTCCACGGGCGAGTGACGACGGTGGTGGTTGTAGACGACCTTGTGACTTGGGTCGTTGTTGTAAGCGTTATTGTAGTTGTAGTTGCCGTGCTTGTTCCAGTCGTGGTTGTCGTGCCTGTGATAGTGGTAGTGGTGAAAGTGCTGGTTGTGACTGTCCTTGTCGTGGTGGTAACTGTGATCGTGGTGGTCGTCCCAGTCGTGGTGGTTGTACTGGTGCTGGTCATGGTTGCAGTCGTTGCAGCTACTGTAGCTGGTGGATGGAGAAAAGAATCACCATACATCGCGCAGGGCGGCGCCGTGTCTGCTGAGCACTTACGGCCAGATCCCACAATTGGTCGATGACAACAATTCTCACCTGGGAGCGGTGCTCGCGTCTTTAAGAGGCTCTGCCACGGTGGACTACTTTGCACTTCTGCTTTCGACTCGCCGAGAAACTCCCTCCCGGGAAATTACTGCAGGCTTCCCCGCCGCAACTTCCACAACTGGCAGGACAGCAGACCGGAGTAGACGGAATGCCATCACACCTTCGGGGACTTCACGAAAGCTTCTCGCATATATGCCGAGGATTGCGAGCCTATTTGCATCTAGGCAACACGTCGTCTGCATGAAAGCCATCACCAACGACGCATGGCGCCCCAACTCCAGCAGAACCTGGACAAGAACTAATTTGCACTGGCGAGCTGATGTCGCCTGTTCCTAGCCGGCTTGCAGAAGGCTGAGAAAGGCACACTCTCTTCCCGATGCCAGGATATTCACGAAGCAGCAGCTTCCGCCTCGGCTTGTAGCAGCCCCGATGGTTGATTCGCTGTCCGAACAGGTTGCTCCAGCCTTAAACAAACCTCCGAGACACTTCCACCCGGCAGCAGTGCACAGATCGGACCACCGCAAGTTCCGCAGGAAGAAGGACAGCACACGGCCCGAGACTGGATCCCCTCATGGCACCTAAGCACACAAGACTCTCTCTCTTCGTTCAGTTTTCCTGGCGTCGGACTCGACTGCTGCCTTCGTCCAGTGCCAGGATAGTGCCAGGCATATCATGCTTCGGAAGCCTCTGTTATGCTTCGCGTCACTGAAGTGCGGCCAAGGGTGCTGTGGAACAGATTGGTTTGGCCCCTGTCCTTGCCTGAGCAGTACCAACCAACCCCTCAGACGAGAAAAGCTCGGGCTCGGAGAGTTCGTAAGTTTCGCTCACGTCCCGCAGGTGAGCTATCGACCCTTGCCGGGACATCCCACAGTTGACAAGCTTCATGACTCTGTCGACTTTCTGGCTTTATCAATCGAAAGCAAACTTGGCAAACTGTGATCGCTCCAGATCCACAGTCACGTGTTTGCCGAGACCGCAACACAAGAGGAAGTATGAAACCTACGATGCCTTCTCGGCTAGAAGGAAAAGGCTAGCCAGGTGTCTGGCCAACAACTAAGGATTTCACTCGATGAAATCGCTTCGGCTGCGAAATGCCATATGTCCCTGTCCAGGCTTCTGAAAAATCTGGCAAGGAGGGGTCCATCTCGAACTCCGCTACACTTGCTGGCCTTGGAACGCATCATAGGTCGTCCGATGTCACCATCCACTCCAACCTCAGTCTCACTTAGCCTAAGGCAAGCTACCTTTCATAATAAACGCCCTTGCAGGAGCCTGCAGCGCAATCCTCGGATCACATCGGGCAGTACCTGACAGAGTTCCACAGGCTTTTGCGGCCTCGGACCGGGAGCGAACAGCGCCTGCTATCAGAAGCAACGCAGCCCAGATCATCGACCTCTATCCATATTGAGCGTCGAACCGCAAAGATTGGTCGAAGCCACTGAGCATCGGGCAAGCCACCGGCACTCTATTGCAAATGGCTCTAGGCTCGCCTCGCAACCTACTCTCGGACCTTTGGCCCATCCATGGAAGCCCTGGGAATGGCAAACAACTTGAGCCAACCAGAGTCAACAGCCCCAAGATGTCTCACCAGACTTCCGTGGCCACCACGACGACCAAAGGCAAGGCATTCAAAGCACAACATGCCCGATTGAAACACCCACCTGCAGTTTTTGCCGCATTCTGTTTCTCCAGTTCTGTGGATGGGACCAGTGTGCTCCTGCATCTAGGGTCGCAGCAGAAACGTCGTTGCCACAATCAGGACGAAAGGAAGTATCGGTGCCAATGTTGTTGCCAGAGATTTGGTTACCTGCACATGCTCAGATCCATTCTCCTGGAGAAAACTTGTGCTGCAGCAGCCTTCGGAACTGGCATCTGCGAGAAGCACTTGCGACTGAGCGGCAGTTGATGTTGTCGTTGTGTTGGTTGTTGAAGTCGTCGTGGTCGAGGTGGTTGTCGAAGGCTGCTCTGTGAATACGATCGTTGCAGTGTGGACTTCGATGTGCGTTACCTGACTCCACAATGAACAAACACTCTGCGAAGAGATGAATAGAATAGAGGATAAGGTCTGTGCCGGGATCTGCCAAGGATGTTGGAGACGGCTCAAGTGTGGTCTGGGAACGGATGGGCCTAATTAATCATGTCTTGCCAGCTACCGTTTCTGCCTGGAAGGATTCCAGAAACAGAATTCGCCTCGGCCCCGGGCAAGCAGTCAGTTTTCCGGAACATGGGACGTTCCACCATTCCCCACACACTTCCTCTCCGGGTCTCCTCCGCTTTCCGTGACCTGCCTCTCCCTCCTTTGCCTTCTCTCTGCGGCACCGCCACGGTTTCAGGGCCCCTCTTCAGCTGCCGGGCCGAGGCTGTTGGATGACTGCTTCAGGAATAGTTATCTATTTCATTCGGGTTCTCCACTGTCAACTGCCACCACATTTGAGAAAACCGCGGGTCCGAGATTTGACGTCAGACAACGTGCCGAGGATGGTAGAAAGGCTCAGGCAGGAAAACACTGCATCCGGAGGCTGATCTCATAGCCCAGACAATGCAGGCAAGGCTACACAGTGGGCATGCGGGAGTTCGGGACATCACGTCAAGGTTTTTTGGGTTGACCTAGATTCCAGCCAACAAAACCAGCTTCTGGTCGATCCCAATCTGCGCACCCAAGAAATTGCAAAGCCAGGGTGATCATGTATTGACCTCCAGTCACCATGCCTCTCGAAGACCTCCATAGGCTTCCAGCACCCTTCAGGATTCTATGCGGCACTCACGGGTCAGACCTCAACCTCAACAACCTGTAGCTCCTGCGACCCAACTCGCAGACACACAAGCTTTTGCATCCAAACACCCAGTCCGACTCAGAGGCCCCCCCATGGATAAATTCAATGTCTCGATTCCAGAACTTTGTGTCCCACGTGTCAAAGCTGCCCGTACGACATCGTACGAGAGCTCTGCATGGCGCCCCAACACCGACCGCCCGATTGCGGCAAATGTCCACCCGAACCCTGACGCAAAAGTCTGACTCGGATCACATGAGCATACATGAGCATGAATGATGAAGATCACACGTACGGCTGACTGACTGTGATGTCTCAGACTCCACTGAGAATCCACCAACTAAGTGCCTGGCGACTACAGTCATGGTGGTCGGTGTTCTTGATCCGGGCATCTGAAGAGATGCATCCGTCACAGTGCTCGTTGTGCTCGCCGTGGATGTCGCATCAGCCACTCACTGTTGCAGCTGCTGTAGTGGCCGCGACGGTCGTAGCCAACGCAGTGGTAGCTACTCCAGTGGTTACGGCTGTTGTCGCAGGCACCGTGCTTGCAGCGGCAACTGGGTCTTGATGTGCGACTTGATCTTCCTCGATAGAGTTCCGAAACATAAACATCAGCAGGAATTGCTGAAGCGACTGCTTATTCGCTGGTCACCGCTTTTCATGTCGTGGGTTCCTGCAGCTTCCCTCATACGGCTTACCAGGACATCTGCCATCCACTAACTGCTCAATGAACAAACTGAGAACGGGAAGCATCCACTTCCGTGCCAATTCCTGCTCATCACGAAACCAAGCCAAAAAATCACATCGTGAATTCTCATTCCGAACGTAACGTGTAGCAGAACCACGGAGAGCCCCTTCGAAACAGCTTCCACCACTCGTGCACCAAAACACTGTAGAGAGCGTGATAGTACTTTGCACGTTCCATAAAGTCCGGTCTTGGATGACCGTGGTGTTCATGCTCTACGGCTCTACCTTCAATACGGAAAGACGTGAGCAGCTGCAGGCGCACGCACGCTTAATCCGAGTAGCTTGCGCCAGGACCTGCAAATATCAAGATGGCAAAAGAAAACACTGTCCGCATGGCTTCGATCCTGAGACAGCGACTGGGGTTCTTGCGATGTGTGGCTGAATTCCAGCCAGTTTTTCCTTCCACACAGCAACCCGTCGCCCGAAAACTGGCTTTGCGGTTCACTGCCGCGCCCACGATCGGCCTCTGACCTGATGAGAGAAGCCGTGGCCTCAGCAAGTGCACATGAGTCCAAAACGAACCGCCGGACGAGCTTCAAACCCGCTGCATCCAAGCAACAGGAGAAATCTGTTGGTTCAACCCAACACTGTCCACCAGCACCCTTACCTTCGCCTGCATTGCCACAAGCGCAGACTCATCTGCACCCGCCGAGGAAGCAAGATTACAATCATGAAGCATGATGTCAAGTATGTAAATGTGGTGCGCACTGCACCGGGAAGAACCTACAACACAAGCATATAGTGCAATCACGGTCCGATTCCTTGTTCCGAAATGCCGGCCGGAGCATATGTGACTGAAAGACTCGGCGAGATCAGAGCCAACCGAATCAGTTGGCAAAGTGGTATCAGCTTCTTTGGGGCACCCGGGAGCACAACATCCATCTTCCTGGAGCCACAAGTAGGAAGAGCCCTCGTTTGTTCAGCTCTGAAGACGGATCGCTTTTGGGAACCTGCCCAGGAAACGCAGTTTCCACTGAGCTTCGTCTCGTTTCGTTTTGCGAACGAATCGGCAGTCCCTGACTCCAACAGTTGGGTTCGGACGCTGCTGTGTCTTCATCACTTATATGGACCAGATAAAGATTGATTTGCTGCAGCATCTACAATGAACCTTTAACACAGTGCCTCCATCTCTCTCGGAGCATGTGTCCCAGCGCCTGCAAAAGAGACTTGTGAATGAAATCTCCTACCTGTAGTAGTCGATCTATGGCCTCTCCAGACCAAGCAGAAGGCCACCAGGATTACGGCACTATGCTGCCACATTGCACCTTGGCATCCACTTCAAGCCGACTACTTCAAGCAAGTGCTGCATGGTTTCCAGTCCTGAGACAACGGCTTCCGCGCAATCAAGTATTGAACGCTTTCACAAACCATGATGCCGAAGTAAACACATGAGCCATCTTGGCTGCGACTGTCTTGGTACGCCGTGTAAGACTGCAGGCTGCAACAGCGCATGAAAAGGCAAAACAACTCAGATGCCCTCCACTTTTCCGAAACTAATGTCCACCGGCAGTGTCTGCGTCGTTGCAGAATAGAGGCTACAGAGGTCGGGTAGGGCTTCAGATTCGCCCGGGAACCCACAAACTAAAGCCACCGGGCAGAATCCGCTGCCAAGATACTTTAGATGCCTTGGAGCTCGCCGTGTTCCCACTCGCCTTCTTGCGCCATTCCATGTGCATCGACAAAGCGCCCCACGCCATGAAGCTTTCCATCTTGGAAGGTTCCCTCGATGACGCTCCCATCTGGCCAAACCTCTCTGCCTGGGCCTTGAGGCAAGCCTTGAACGACTTGACCTTCAAAATGGCTACCGTTCTTCAGAAGCCCTTTGCCCGTGCAAGTCCAGAGAAAGCCGTCTGCAATCTCTCCGTCGAAGCCACGTCCGCTCACGGCATCGAAGATGCGTCCATGGCCTGTGTCCGGTCGACCATCTCGCCATTTTCCCTCAAAGGCCACCTCGTAAGCCTGAGGTTCTCCAAGGCTCAGGCTGTCCATGCTGTCCCCGGTCGGATTGTATCTGAGGATCGCAGGACCACCCCCATACACTTGGATGAAGAACTCCCACATGGCCGGCTCAAGGACCTGATAATCGTTTTGAAGGCCCTCCTGCAAGCCGGCCCGTAGGGTACCATCGATATCAAAGAGATCGCTGTTGATGATCGGCGAGGGCGGCCTATCTCTTGTCTCCATGGTAGGACGACCTACACCAACAAAGCTGCGCCAAGATCGGCACCATTTCGAGCTAATGATGTAGCCAAACTTCCCGCCCATCCACCAAAGCTGCGGCATTCGCTTTGCCAAACTTGCCTCAATCTCCTCAACTTTTGAAAGCTCCTCTGTCCGTCGCATGTGCAGGAAGGCTCTCTGCTCTGAGGGTGTCATGCTTGCCGAGATGATCGTCCACTTATCCAACTGCAGGCGCAGGTTCGGGGCTGGTTCCAGCACACATCGTCTTGAGTGCTCTGCAACCTCTTCAGCTTTCACCCGCTCCCCGCAAACGCAGCATTTGATTCGGCTGTACTCTTCAATTTCGTCTTGTGTTAAGACCGGATCCCCCGTCTTGTCCACGTCCGCGTCCATCCTCACTTCGACCCCACGCCTCTGCGGCGCGGAATGGCCCACGTAAGCAATGCATGTTCATTGTACCTATGCTTTGAGCCCAAATCTGCAGAGCAAAGAGATCGCAATAGAAAAAGCTGAAGCGCACAAGCTGCACATCCTCAGAGCAGATGCAAGCTCGTGGCTCTTCACCTGGGTCCTGTACGTCACGTCATCCATTGCATGCTACATTGCAGCATGCAGCTGCCAGTTCCGGAAACCCCAAGCTCAGATGAGAAGCCTTAGCTGATGTAAGGCACCGCCTCATGCATGGGTGCA